AGGAAGAAATAACACCAATGAAACATAAGTTCAATCCACGTAAGGGATTGACACCACCTTCAACCTAAAATCTTAAGACATGGGGTTATGTTATGGATATTTCTTCTTTATATGTTGCTCAACTTTCTCATTCTTACTCAATATAGAATATAGATTCACACTTGGATTTTCTAACAATCTCCCTCTAAAGTATGAGTTCATTCACATTGGTATATCCTCTCTGAAAGATCCATAAAGGGCAAGGGTAGTTTATATACATCTTTCTCTCTCGACCTACTGTTGCGTTTTTTAAGGACAAAACCATATTGGATTAGAACTTTAAACCGAACAAATACCTCAGACATGGAAATTAACCTTAACGATGATATCACAATAGATTAGGACGAAATATTCTCATTCTTAGATAAAACATAATTTATTAAAATTTAATGTATATTTATTATTTAATATTAGAAAAATTTAAATAAAAATAATTTTAAATATATAATTTTGAAATAGATTATATTTTTTTATTTCTAATAAAAATTTATATTATATATAAGCGCGTTCTAATTTCAACATGAATTCTTTTGAAAGAAGCAATAAAACTCTTTAAAATTTACTTACACAAAAATACCAGTTTGTAAAAAATTATTTAAGAGTTATGTTGAATAATTGACAAGCGTACCAATATTATCAATCATAATATAATATTTTGATTAAATAAAAGTCGATCTCTTGAGGAACGGTTTCACTGAAAATTCCAAATCATAAGCTTACTAAGTGAATTAAAACAAAATTGTTTTTTCATAAAGATTTAGGTTAAAAAAATGACAAAGAACTGTAAAATGTTTTTAGAAAAGATCAAATAAAAGAACTTAAGATTGATTTTATTCTCTTTTCCTCTTTTGTATAATGGATATGTCAAATTAAGAACGTCAATTAACCTATCAATGTTGATGTCACTTACTTAAATCATTCACATTGATTCCTCGCACATAAAATTCATAAAAAAACCTAATAAATGTCGATTCCTCATACATTTAATAGATTTCTCAGCATTAGGTTTATGGTATTAAGCAATTGACACATCCATCACCATTCTTAGCCATTAACATAGTAAATATTCTTAACCTGATCTAGGGTTTCAAGATATATTTTCCAATACATCTCAAACATCAAAGATAAACATTAATGAACACAAATGATAAAAATATCAACATCAAGAACATAGATTAATATCTCGAACTATCACCAAGATACAAAAGAGCTTAAAGAAAGTACACTCAATCCTAAGAGAATGAAATTAGTAACTCATGATGGTTATTACAATGACCCAAATGAAGAATAATTGAAGATTAGACAAAAATTCGATCAGCTGTGCGTCTTTCTTCTCGAAACCCCCCAAAAAACCTCCTTTCTCAGAATGCATCTGATCTATTTATAGAAAAATTTCACGTCATTCGCTCAAGCGGATATTCTCGCTCAAGCGAGTATTGATGATTTTCGCTCAAGCGAGAACGACTGAATTCTCAAGAGCTTTAACGTATTTTTGCTCAAACGAGTGTTCGTCTCGCTCGAGCGAATGACTTCCAGAGACGTTTAACATATTTTCGTTCAAGTGAACATCTACCTCGCTTGAGCGAATCTTACGTTGAAAATCTTCTTCCCTTTTTTTTTTCATTTTTCTTCAATTAACTTGAGAATTATGATCCTTATTCTTGTACACAGGTACTTTGTAATTCATCCTACATTGGAAAAAAATAGATTAGAATTAACATAATTTAAGTGGTTAAATAACAATTCAAAACATAATTACATCAACTTTTACCACTTAACAAGCTATTATGTCTTAGAATTTTCATCAATTACAGTTTTATATTTAAAAGATATTTCAATTAAAAGAAAAAAAAAATATATATATATATATATATATTATTTTTTATCTCAACTATTAAGAGTTGTGAATTCATCAATTTACGAAACAGTTACATTTACATATTTATTAATCTGAAAAACTTATCATAAAAAACATTTTTTTATTCATGCAAAAATATAAATATAAAGTCAGTTTCTCCTATTTTTATCCGTCACTTAAGTAAATTAATAATTAAATTAAATAAATTATGTTTATATTTTATTTGATAAAAAAATCTATAACAAATATTTTAATGAATAAAATATTTTATAAAGATGAAAATTCATTTATTTAATAATATTTTAAATAATTGTATCACGTTTCTATCTCCATCCATCATGTTAGTAGATTATGAATGAAGTTAAAAAATTATATTTATATTTTACAAAGATTAAACTAATAAGAAAAGTTTTATAGGAACTATTTTAATAAATAAAACATTTTATAAAGATTAAAAGGATATTTTGTTTATATTTATATTTTAAAAAACTAATTAATAAATATATTATTATAAATATATTATTAATTTTATATAAATAAATTTAAATTTTTACAAACGGAATTGTGACCTTTTTCACAAACAGGCCTCTTTTTTGTAGTTAAATTTCAAAAAGGTTTTGTTTTTGTAACATTTTTGGCAAATGAATTTTTCGGGGGAATTGGTTTTCTCAATGTCCGCATTATTTGGACAAATATCTTTATTTTGAAGAGAAGAAAAAAAAAAACAAAATAAAGCTGTTTTTGTAACTTGAAATTTGTTTATAAATAAATTTAAAAAACAGAAAAAAGTATATTTTTTTGGTTCTACATTACGTATACGTTAATTTTAAACTACTGAAACTGCAATTGAAAAACTGATTTTATTTGTTTTTGTTATAAAAATTTGTGAAGAAATTCTTTTTATTCGTACGTTTATCTCTTATAATTATATGTATGATACATACTCTGATAAATTTATATTTATAAATGTCTTAAATTATTCTAATTATATAATTATGTACTTTAAAATGTTAATTTATAATCATGTTTGTATTTATCTATAACAGAGATATATAATTTGAATAAGAGATATTAATATTGAATATATTTTTACTATCTATCTATATATATATATATATATATATATATATATATATATATATATATATATATATATATATATATATATATATGAGTGAATTCAGCATAAAAGAAAGAAGTTGAAAACTTTCATTAAATTGGTAGAATTTTATCCCATTCTTATCACTTGGGAATAATATTTTCAAAATTATATATTGCTATAGACTCCATTATGTTATGATACTAAGTAATTGAGATTAATATTATCAATGAGTCATTAATTAAAAAATATTAAATTAAATATATCAAACTTTATGTAGTTTTAATATCAATTATACTTTACATATAATTATAATATTAATTATTTGGTTTTTTCCACATCTATTAAATCAGCAATATTTAATATTTTGCAAAATAAATATATAAAGTTCAAGTAATAAATATTACTAGCATTTTGATTTGTACAAATGGACATGATTAATATCACTATAATTTATCAAGTGATGCAAAATTTGAAAATAAAAATACTTTAACTAATAAAGAATACCACGATCTTAACTTTTTATCATTGAGAAAATCTTTAGCTTAAAGCTTTTATAAGTTACACATTTTCACTTTAAATGAGATATATTATGTTACATTATATTTTTAAGTAAATTATTTTAAACTTTTACAAATTTTGTTTTGACGTTAGTTTTCAAGAACATTTATATTGTTATGATATTTTTATTTACATTTCATTTTAAACAACTTAAAAATAATTTAGTTATTATAATTAAATATTAATTAAATATAATATGTTAATATAAAAGTAATTAAGAATTCATGTATTTATTTTAATAAGTATAAAAATATTATTTATTACGAAAAATTACATAATTAAAAGAAATAGCAAATATTAGAAATAAAAGACGATAAATTATTCATAAGAACAAATATATACTATTTTTTTTATGTCCGAACGATATGAAGTATATTTTACCAAATTGTGAAAACACTCTAATTATAATAAAAAAATATTTATATTTATAAATAAATATTATTTTCTATATACTAATTTTTAATATTTTAGAATAGAATTTTTTATAATTTTTTTTAAAATTCTGGATATGATGAATATTTAAACATTTTCTTTATATTTTTAAATTTTAAAACATAAACGGATGGTAATAATAAAATAAATAATTATTTAATTTTTTAGACTGTTAAAAAAATTAAAAATAGAAATTGTGAGATTGTTTATGAATTTTTGAGAATATTTAAGTAAAATAAAACCTCTAATCCAATGTATATTTTCTCTTGATCTAGGAGGATGCAATAAGAAAAACCAAAACTTGCATAATTCCGCGTGCGAAAGAAAGAGAAAAATAATTGAAAATGCTCCACCACCACTGCTCATTCCGCAAGTGACACGCCAAAGTTGAGTTGAGTGCAGCTAGCTTCAAGTTTGTTTTATTATCTTTATTGCTCTTTTATTCAATAAATAAATAACATATTAAATTTTTCTTTATACAACAACTTAAAAAAAAAATACAAAATTTAGAGTTGAAAGTGCACGGAAAATTCATATACAATTCAATTTGAGTCACAAAATCTAAGAGAGAAGTCTATTGCAATGTTTAATATCATGTGCCTAGATTATGGTATGGGTATAAGAATAATTTTAATCATTCATTAACAATATATAATTAATTTTAATTAGTCATTAACCCAATGTATTATTACTAATAACAATTAAATAATTTTTCTATTTGAGCATAAGTATAGTGAATATTATTTAAAATTTAAATCATTAATTAGTCTGTTGGATATTTTCCAAAAAAACTAATAGGAGATTCTCTTTCAGTGTAAAAAGTTTATACTATAAACATATTGGAGAAAAAACACGTTCTTGAACTTTTCCCAGTATGCGTGGTCGAAGCAACGGAAACTTCCCAACTCCTCTTACAAACAAATAAATCGAACACATTAAGTGAATCCCACACAACATAACAGACACCATCTAAAGGAGATACTCTCGAGTCCATAATTCCGGCCACCGTAGATGGCCCCGCGGCAGGAGAGCTGCTGCACGCGCTGCCTCACGTTCCTAATAACCATAGGCCTCACGGCGCTGTTCCTGTGGTTGAGTATGCGCGTGGACGAACCCCGATTCTACCTCGACAGAATTTACGTTCCTGCCCTCAACAAAACCCTAAAGCCCTCTCCCGAAAACACCACCATCCTCTTCGACCTCGAACTCGTCAACAGGAACAAGGACAGCGGAATCCGATACGACGAAGTTCACCTCTCGTTCAAGGTCTTCGTCAGCGTCAACGCCACGCGCCCCCTGGCGAACGCCACTGTGGAGGGCTTCTACCAGGGCCACAAGAAGAACGCCCTCAAGCACGGCTCACTCAACGGCGGCCGTAACCTCACCACGGCGGTTGCTGGGAAGGTGGTGTACCGCGTGGACTTCACCACGTCGGTGAAGTACAAGATTGTTTGGTGGTACACGAAACGGCACCCTCTGTGGGGAGGGGCAAATGTGGAAATGAACGATTCCGGGTTAAAAGTGTATGGAAAACCCGTCAGGCTTGGCGGTAAAATCCCGGAGGTGATCCAGTCCGGCGCACCCGAACTCCGTGGATGCTATCCTGCGCTTCTCACTTTTTGTGTTCCTGCTTTTGTTCTTCTGCTTAATGTTCGTGGGCTTAGTTGACTTGACTTTATCACCGAAAATATCTTATTTTTGCGTGTATTACTTTATTCAATTAGTTTTTCTTTTCTATTTTAGTTCCTTTTGCAAATGGTTGAATTGGTGAGAAATTGTTTTTTTATTGTAATATGCGTTTTTTTTAGCTTCAATAAAAATTGAAAATGTAAGAGTTAAATTCTTCAATAATGATTGATTACACCTGATTAACTAGTTTCAATGTCTCCCAATCCTTCCACGTGTAACGTAAGGGTTAAATTAAATATAATAAAAAAACTAGTATTATGCCGCACTCCTATGGAGAATGTTGTTCCAAGAGGCAGAACTTAGAAGAAAAACAATACACTATTGAAAGTGTTTGAAGAAGTTTTAAATACTTTAAAGTAGGGTCATATTAAATCAAAGTATATTTTAATGCTTAATTGTCTTTACTTTATCAACCATTCTATATATTTTCACAAAATGAAGAATAAATTAAAGATTTTAATTAGAGATGAAAACAAATTACATCGTATATTAATAGTCCAGAATATAATTTATATTACATTAAACTTATTATTTTTTAGACTAACTTTTTAACTATTTGTTACTATGTTAATGTTGTTTATTAAATAATATTTTAAGTTTAGTCTATTACATATTAAGAAAAATAATAAACCGGTTAATAAATAAATGATTACCATGCATCCATTCGGTAGTAAGAAAAAAAATGAAAAAAGAGATAAAATAAAGTAAAAAATATTTTTGCTTATTTGAAAAGAAAATAATATGAATTTTTTTAATTTTAAATTAAATTAAAATTAAAGGTTTATTCAATTATAAAATTACTCACATAATTATTTATTGATTTTTTATTAATGAAATAATTTTTTAAATTCATACATTTAAATTAATATCCATTTATTTAATAATATATATTTTGATATATAATTATAATTTTATAAAATTATATATATTAAATTATTTGTACTTAAATTAATAAAATAATATCATATGAAAAAAAAATTTAAATTATTTATTTAATTTTTTTAATCACTTTTATTTTTATAATATTTATTAAAATAATAATTAATATATATAAATTAAAATTATAAACATAAAAATAAATAATTATTTGAGTGAGGATAATTTATAAAATAATATTTTTTTAATGATTTTCCACTATTTTTTATTATAGTAAAAATAATATATTTCTTTAATACTTATCACTTTTCCTTTCATCCAATAGAGAAAATATTTATTTTCCTCTCACTTTCCACTCTTTACTCTTTTTTTTTCTAATATATCTTTGTATTCTTTTTGTTTTATTTTTCATAATTATTATACATTTGAATACAGAATAATTACAAAAACACCTATAATAATGCTTAATAATACATATTTTTGTGAATACATAATAAAATATTAAAAATTGCCTCTTTACATAATTGTTTTGTAGCATGTAGTACGAAAAACATTTTCTTCTACTTCATAGGTTTCTATAGTTCATTAAAAAAAGAAATGAAGGAAGTAGTTATTTTTTTATATAATAATAATAATAATGATAATAATAATAATAATAATAATAATAATAATAATAATAATAATAATAATTATTATTATTATTATTATTATTATTATTATTATTATTAAAATAAGTAAAAAAATAATTATAGAAAAATTATTTTCAGAAGAATAATATTAACTTAAATTTAAGAGATAAAAAACTTGAAAAAAAAATCTTTAAAAGAGAAAAAGATTTAAACGATTTTTTCACATTTCTCTATATTTTGTAGTTGCATGAGTTGTGAAGAAAAATCGATGTGTTTGTAGGTGTAGTAGCATTTCAATTTGTTCCTAGATGCAATGCAACTGCGTCACTCCTGTGTTCGAAATCTAAGCACTGGATTCCGTTCACGTTCGGCCACCAAACCCGCCACTTCCAACCCTCAACCTTCATCTTCTTCTTCTCCTACTTCTTCAACCTCGTTATTACTTTCGGGACTTGATGAGGATATCACGCTCTCAAGCCTCAAGCTTAAGCGACCCTCTCCTTCAGGTACTTTCAATCACAGCCTTCATGCTTCACGAACATTGACCAAAGTGGTTTAGTGTACGTTAGAATCGGATTTGTAATGTTAGTGTTGAAAACTATTGCTGGGGGTGCTGCCTTGTTGGACAATTTGGTCTATAATAATCTATTTATTTATTTTTGGATAATTTGGTGCAGGTGATTCGGCTAATGGGGTGTTTAAGCATATTTCTTCTATTTTCCATGGTAAGTGTTTGCGAAAATTTCTGTGAGAATACACACATTTATAGGAAGGGTGTCGAGTGCGAAATGAGAGCTTGAGAGGAATGAAGAACTTATAATTCAAATGAGTTGTTAAAATTAAAACTAAATAAGAAAGTTTGACCATCCGTGTTTCATTAGATGACCAAGATAATATATCCATTTTCTCTAGGATAACAAGGAAAACTGAGAAAGATGGAAATAGGTTTAATCTATGTGATTTAACTAGTAGTTTTTATTTACAATTCCTTTTGCCTTAAAATTTTATTCTTTATTTTTTTTTTGGGAGGGTGGGAGGGGGGCTCTGTACAGTGGTTTTGCAAAAAAAAAAAAAAAAAGGAAGAAGAAGAAGAAAAGGTTAATCATATTTGATTATTGTTACTAATTGCAGCGGGTAAGTCAGTGTTGAAACCTGATTATGATGAAATTGATGTTGCAAAGAAGTTTGAGAGAGTGGCAAATCTTTCGTGGTTGTCGAGCATCTCTCAGAACAACATATCTTTGCAATGGAAGGAGCAATCTCGTAAAAAGAAACAAAAGTATGTGTTTGAATTCACTCAAGAAAACCGTTTTCAGAAGTTAATCGAAGTATGTGGAAGAAGACTAGGACCAGAGACTACCCTTGAATTGTTTGCTAAACTGGGACGAGAACCAGGTGTGAAAGGATACAATGCATTGGTAGAAATGTGTATAGATAAAGCCAGGAGAACTAATGCTGAAGACATTGCAATAGAAGAACTTGGGAAGGTTTTTAACCTTTTTAAGTCAATGAGGGAACAAGGTTTAGAGCTACAAGAGCAAACATATCGGCCCCTTCTTTTGTATATAATTGATAAGCACATGGTTGAGGAGTTTCAGTTACTCTGTGTTATTATCAAAGAGGAGAATCCCAGTTCAGTTACAAGGCTGGGTTATTATGAAATGTTGCTGTGGTTGAGAGTTAATAATGAAGAAAAGATTCAGGGTATTTGTAATTATATTGCAGAGAATGACAGTGAGGACATGTCTGATATACGAGGTAGGAGAACCTTCTTTCTGGTTTTTTCCACTTGCATTATTTTGCCAAAAGCATATTCTTCTGAAGAATATCTAGCTTTGGATTTAAATAGTAACAGATGATCAGCGATTTTGCATTACACAGACATTATTGATGCCTTCTATTGCAATTTTTGGGATCATTGAGGTGAAACTCTTTAGCCCATGCTGTTTGAAGTGACGTAACCATGTGGCTAATTGTATTTTATTATTCAGATGTGAACGTTTTATGCTATTGTATACCAATTAACTTGACTACTAACATGATGCTACTTTTTCTGCACTTTGATACATGTCTAATAATAATAGAAATTTTTGTTTCGCGTAGCACTTTAGAAACTTACTTTTCAACCTATGTTGCAGAAAATTATTTATTGGCTCTTTGTGAAAGTGAACGGACAGAGGAGATTTTGAAGCTGTTGAGAATCATAGACATAAAATACCTTTCATCTGTTGAATCTGTGGCAATGGTATTTCAGGCATTAGGAAGATTACTATTGGAACCTGTAGCAGAGAAGTTCCTTTTTGACTTCAAAAATAGTGGTAATTTGATATTTATCTTCTTTCACCATGGATGATGTACGTGAGACATGGCACTGAGTTGCATGTGGAAAAGAAAGATAAGAATTTGCATATGCTATATGCACCTTTTTATCTTCGAATTCTTCTTCACTTATGTTTTATATGTATTAACTGGCCACATGGATCTTTCTTTTTCTTGACTAATTGTAAATATATTTAATTAAAGATCTTTCTTACATTCTACCTATGTGTATTTGAAGCAGTATTATAATCATATGGTGGGATTGTATTGCTTCCTCTATATATTTCTCTCTTGTATATATACATACTGAGGTTTTCTTACAATTTGCAGATCATGAAGCACATAATATTACAAACTTCGTTGCTTGTTATGCTGTTAGCATTCCAAATTTATCAGTAAGAACTGTGATGCCATGATACTCTTTATGTACTTCTGCCTTTTGCAATTTGCTTCATCCTTGAACTAAGTCTCCATTTCCCAAATTTTATGTTGCTTCAGACTTCAGTGTGATTGATAATGTAGTACGACAGCTCAGCTGGTTTGCCAGTTTCAATTAGTATACTTTAGTGACATTTTCTTGATAATTAATTTTGAATTCTCAATTAAATTTGAACTAGACAAAGAGGCATTTGTAGGTTATCATCTACAGTGTGCTAAAGTGAATTACCAGGTACAGATAGAATTGGCGTGTCTTTAAAATGTGGTCCACTTCTATCCAAACAAGTGTTGAGACTCATACCTCTGATGTGGTTAAAACTTAAAAAAGCCAATGAAGTCTTGCTTCATTGTGCATGTGGTGATTTCTTTCTGACATGTATTTTTGGTATTCTTGAAGATTGAGGATGTCATAAAAAAGTTCAAAGATTTGCACCAAAGACTAGAAGTTTTGCCTTCATCTTCATCATATGAGAAGATCATTTTACATAGCTGTGAATTGCACAAGGTACAATTTTCTTTATTGAATTTTAATGATTACTAAGTGGCTGCCAGAACTTTCTCTATAAGAAGAAAAATAACTCGAGAAGAAAATGGAAAGTAAGAGAACTGTCCCTTTTAGCACGAGGACAGGACACTGAACGTGCACCGATCAATTTCCTTACCCTTTACTAAAGAACAAAATTTAAACCATTGACAAAAGTTATGTATTTTTTATTTGTGGACCCACATACATTTACTTTCTCTTCATTGTTAATTATAATTCTTATTTAATAGAAAAAGAAACGCCTATATTCTTTCGTACAAGAAATTTATTAAGTTTTTTTCATCATAATGACTTTACTGGTTCTTTTCTGTGCTGTAACTAACATATTCCTTTTCATGTTGATAGAAAAACTTGAAGATCTTATCCAATGTCCTTTCCAATGATATCCAAAATTCATTGGAAGGATTACTAATTTACTATCCACAAAAGTAACTCAAAAGAAAAGAAAAAGGAAAAAAAAAGAGATATTGTCTACCATTTGCACTCGGCCCATAGATTCCTGACCTCCTTTGTCCTTGTAACCACCACTTGAAGGCTATGAACTGTTTGTCATTTTGCATATCACCATACTTGAAATTGTCACCTTTGAGCGTGCCATGCACCATCAGCTTTATCCACGATGTTCATGTTTTTATGTAATTGCTGGAGAGGCTGGACATCTGAAATTTACTAGAGTAGAGAATGATGTTTTGATATTCCTACAGTCAATAGAAAGGTTTTTGTAACTGGTCATCTTTAACAAGTATTTGTTATCTGCAAATGTCATATATACTATAGGTAAAGAAATAATCAAAGTCCAGGGCACTTTCCCCACCCTGCCTCTCATAAGCTAAACCTGTCTTGTCCTAACCTAATATTTTGGGATTGCATTCACGAAAAATTCCTGTTTTTCTATTTAATCTTACCCAGACTACCCTGATTCAATGGGAACTCTTTAGCAGGCTGGCACAGTGAATGGAATGCCACTAGGCCTAGTTTTCTTGTCGACAGAGCAGCCATTTGGTTTTCTCTTCATAATTATACTTCTGACCACTTGCCATATATCATAACAGAAACCATTATACTCTCTTCTAGCATAAATTACTCCTTTGTTTGCATTAAAATTTCTAACTGCTCTCCTTCCACTAACTACAAAGAATCTGTCAATAGTTCACACCCTTCTCATGAATCTTGCTTGCACTTCAGTGACACTCACCTTAAAATGATATTTTCTTCTCAAGTTATCATTTACTAATCTTCCACTTTTAAATAAAAATTATTTACTAATCTTCACACTTATAAGAGCTAGATTGCGGGGCTGGATAGAGATGACAGGAGGAGAAAAACACCCAGGCACTTGGGAAACCCTCCTTTAAAAGATAGTTAAGGGGAGAGAACCAAATACTTAAATACTCTAACATTGCATACAACATGATATGGAACATATGCACTTCAGAAATACTTAAATACTTAAATGCTCAACCCAAGTCTCTATCATCAAGTGTGAGAAATGGGCTTCAATTTCAATATAATATATATAATTGGGGATTTGCCAATTACTCAACAGCTTAGAGTTTTCATTTAAGATGAATTTGCTGGTTTGTAATGCAGGTACATGTAGCACTTGATATTGTCAATGAAATGTGTGAAGCGGGCTTGACTCTATCAACTGAGGTGTTACACTCAATATTACAAATTTGTCATGAAACATCTGAACATAATTTGGTATGACCAATCTTCCATACAATTATTGGTTTGTTTCTTCATTGATCATAATATGCTTGTCCTAAAGCTCATATCTTCTCTCCACATGATATAAGTATATTTGTGGCCTTTATGTCTAAGCTTCCGATCTTGAAGAAATTACTGTTTGTGTTATGTGGATGAACTGTCACTTGAAAGCTAGCAGTGTTACCATTAGGTGAATATCCAAGGATGATCTTCTTTTTTTAAAATACTTGAGAAAACTGTTTAGGGTTTCAATATAGTGTCTAAAGACACTGATATTGTCGTATTTATAAAGAGGGAACACAAAAGAGAGGATATTTGCCTCAGCCCAAAACCTTAACCCTAGTCTAAAGAACATACACACAAAACAAGAATTATTAAACTCTAAAACATGACATATCTAAACCCTCCCCCTCAAGTTGAAGCATATAGATTGTATGCACCAAACTTGGAATATATGAACCGAATCCAAGACCCTCTTAGGATTTAGTTAAAATGTCCGCAAGTTGCTCATTATAGCTCACAAACTCAGTTACAAATTCCTTGGACAACTTCTCTTTGACAAAATGATAGACAATCTGAATATACTTTGTTCTTTCAGGAAACATTGGATTAGAGGCAATATGAAAATCTGTCTGATATCACAAAACAATTTCATTTGTTCATTATAACAAAATTTTAATTCTTGAATGGGTTGTTTAATCCACACAAGTTCACATGTAGCAAGAACCATAGATTTATATTCAACTTCTGCACTAAATCGGATAATAACACTTTGCTTGCTCTTCTAATAAATTATATTACCTCCAATAAATATACAATACCCCGTAGTAAATCTTCTATCAGTGGGACAACTAACCCAATTTGCATCACAATAGCCTAGGATTTGAGTATTATCTTTGTTTTCGTACAACAATCCTTGTCTTGGAGTCTGTTTAACATATCTCAGAATACGAATGAAAGCATCCAAATGATCAACACAAGGATATGAGAATCTTTCTCCTTTATCTCCCATCAAATTCTGATTAGGATCCATTGGACTATCAATGGACTTACAATTTGTTAAACATGTCTCCTTCAGAATGTCAGGCATATTTCCTTTGTGAAATGATCACACAATCCTTGATTGAGTCACTTCAATATCAAGAAAATACTTCAATTGACCAAGATATTTGGTTTGGAAGTTACCAAATAGATGATTCTTCAATTGATTGATTTTAGTGTAATCATTGCCTGTAATGATAATATCAACATAAACCATGAGATAAACACATTTTCCTGAAGATGTATGATAATAAAACACTGAATGATCTACCCCACTCCTTTTTCAAGCCAAACATCTGCACAACATGATTGAATTTTCCAAACCAAACTCTCGGGGTGAGTGCTTCAAGCTATAAAGAGACCGGTGTAGCTTACACAATAAACCAGACTTTCCCTGAGCAACAAAACCAGAAGGTTGCTCCATGCAAATCTTTTCCTCAAGGTCACCATGGAGAAAGATATTCTTAATATCCAATTGGTGAAGGGGTCTATGACAAATAACAACCATTGCAAGAAAGAGATGAATGGTCAAAATCTTAGTTATTGGGGAAAATGTATCTCAGTAATCAAGACCATAAATCTGAGTGTAGCCTTTAGCCACTAAGCAAGCCTTGAGATGATCCACCTTACCATTATTACCCAACCATAACTGCATAAACCCATCTACAATCACACAGTCTTTTTGCTAGAGGAAGAGGGTCCCAAGTGTCATTGTGCTCAAGAGCCTGCATTTCGTCCATCTTGGCTTGTCGCCATCCAGGATGATCAAGTGTCTCATTAATAATATTAGGAATAGGAGTATTGGCCAAGGAAAAAACAAAAGAATATGAAAGAGACAAACGATGATAACTTAAAAAATTATAAACAGGAAAGTGATTACGAGTTGAACGAATATCTTTTCTGAATGCAATAGGCCATCCAGAGACAAAATTAGAAGTGGGGGATGAGGGTGAAGGATCCATGGTATGAAAAGTTGATGAAGAAGATTTTGAATCACGATGATCTTTAGGGATTGGTAAAGAAGTAGGAGGGATCCTACGATGATAAGTGAGAAGAGGAGGATGATTTGTATGACCTGTAGACGGAAAAACACATTTATACCACTTGAGAAAACTTACTTAGGGTTTGATACAGTGACCAAAGGTACTGTTACATTGCATTTATAGAAAAGGAGATACAATAAAGAGGATATGGGCCTAAGCCCAAACCCTTAACCCTAGCCTAAGGAACATACAAAAGAATACAAAAAGATAGATGAACAACATATCTTAATATTCCCCCTCAAGTTGGAGCATATAGATTATATGCACTAAGCTTGGAACAAATGAATTGAATCTTAGGTCCTCTAAAGAATTTAGTGAAAATATTCGTCAGTTGCTCATTAGAGCTTACAAATTCAATAACAAGTTCTTTAGATAACAACTTCTCTCTAACAAAATGACAATCAATCTCAATATGTTTTGTTCTTTCATGAAACATTAGGTTGGAGGCAATATGGAGAGCTTCCTGATTATCACAAAACAACTTCATCTGCCTATTATCACAGAATTTTAAATCTTGAAGGAGTTGTTTAATCCACACAAGTTCACATGTAGCAAGTGTCATAGATCTATACTCAGCTTCTGCACTAAATTGTGCAACAATTTGCTTTTTACTTTTCTAAGAAATCAAATTTCCTTCAATAAAGATACAATATTCAGTAGTAGATCTTCTATCAATGGGACAACCAACCCAATCTGTATCACAATAACCTAGAATTTGAGTATTACCCTTATCTTCATATAATAATCATTGTCCTGGGGCCCTTTTAACATATCTCAGAGTGTGAATCAAGGCATCCTAGTAATCAACACAAGGATTTTGCATGAATTGGGTAACTATTCCAACTGCATAAGAAAGATTCGGTCTGGTAATAGTAAGATAAATGAGTTTACCAACCAATCTCCTATAACTTTCTGGATCTGACAACCTTTCTCCTTTATCCTTTATCAATTTCTGGTTAGGGTCCATTGGGGTATCAATGAGCTTACAATTTGTTAGACCAATCTCCTTCAGAATATCAAGAGCATATTTCTTTTGAGAAATGATCACTCCTTCCTTTGGCTGGGTCACTAAAATACTAATAAAATACTTCAATTGACCAAGATCTTTGGTTTGGAAGTGAGCAAAAAGATGATTCTTCAGTTGACTGATCTTAATATAATCATTATATGTAATAATAATATCATCAACATAAACCATAAGATACACACACTTGCCTGAAGAGGAATGACAATAAAATATTAAATGATCTGCTTCACTCCTTTTCAAGCTTGCACAACATGACTGAATTTCTCAAACCAAGCTAATCTATAAAAAGACCGATGTAGCTTACCCACTAAACCAGATTCTCCGTGAACAACAAAGCCAGGAGTGATGTGAACATGACCTATGATAAGGGCTAGATCAAGGGAAGCAAAGGAAGTTCTTCAACAAGTATTGTTAGCTGACCAAATTATGTTTTGGATTAATCAATTAATGGGCTTTAGTTTGATTTTATTGCAAGTTGTAAAAAGGGTCCAATTGAAAATTTAGTTATCAGTCTTTGGGAGACCAAGAAGGTGTATAGCTGATTGATTTTTGGTTGCCACAATTTCAGTTACAATCAATCATTAAGTAGTTTTCAATTCATAGGTTAATGGATCATTATTAGCTTTTATTTGTCTTTATTAAGTAATTTTCAATTCCTAGGTTAATGAATCATTATTAGCATTTATTTTCCTTTATTAAATCTTTGTAATTCTGATGGCAAAACTTCTATGTAGGCTGAACCATTTTTATCAAAAATAACAAGTGGAATTTTATTCAAAAATATTAAAGTTTATCTCTTTTATCTTATGAAAATGATTCTCCTAAATTCTTGAGTGATTCAACAACCTTTGGGTTGTATCAAAGGACTTTCACATTTTTTGTGAGTTGTCTTTCTTGGGAAGAGTGATTCTTTCTTTCCACCTTATTACTAAATTCTTAAATTTCTTACAAGGTTCTAACGCTAAAGATTCTAAATCACCCATTGTGATTCATATCAGATGATATTCAGAGCTTCGATTTAAGGGTTTGAACATCAAATTGATGGTAGAAGAGGAAAATTACAATCAAGAAGCAGAAATTAGTACATTTCAAATGAGAGCATTGGTACAATATTTGGAAGGATTAATGATACGATATAACAATGAACTCTATGAAAGATTGAACCGGTTGGAGAATAGAGATCCCGAAGATGAAGAAGAAAGGAGAAATAAGAGAAGGAATGATGGAGTAGCAAGACCAAATAGGCTTGAAGGAGCTAAGCTTAGCATTTCTCCGTTCAAAGGAAAAAGTAATCCGGAGGCATACTTGGAGTGAGAGATGAAAATAGAGCATGTTTTCTCATGCAACAATTATGAGGAGACCCAAAAGGTGAGACTTGCAACTACAAAATTTTCTGACTATGTTCTTGTTTAGTGGAACAAGCTTAAAAAGGAGAGAGGTAGAAATGAAGAGTCAATGATTGATATATGGACTGAGATGAAAATGATCATGAAGAAACGGTATGTGCCGGCTAGTTATTCAAGGGAATTGAAATTTAAACTAGGGATGACAAACCGGGCTAGGCCCGGCGGGCTGGCCCGCCAACCCGCCATAATATGGCGGGGCGGGTTGGTATTTTCAGCCCACCAGCCCGCTTTGGCCTGCCCCGCCAAGCCCGCCAATCCGTCGGACCAACCCGCGGGACCTGGCGGGCCAGCCCGCGCCCGCCTAATTAATAAAAAAATAATTTTTTATTGTAATAAAATTAATTATAAAGATAATATAAATTTAAAAATTTTAAAAAGAGAATTAAAAAAGTTTCATTCTGACGTAAAATATTCTCCTTCCCGAAATATAACCTTCTCTCATGTTCTCCTTATTTATCCTAAACACCGATTATATTTATCCTT